ACACCCATTTCCTAGAAGCGGTCAGCACGCGTATCGCGAGATGGGTGAGTGGGGCCCATTGTGTGTAGACCGGGATGAGCATGCTCTGATACGTTGGAATGGAAATGTTGAGACTACCCGTTTGGGTAATGTTTTCTGGTCCAAGAAAGAAGCAAATATAGGTATCATGAATTGGAACGTTAGTAGATTGGGGGAGGTTAAGACAACATATTCGAAAAAGAAATCATTCAAGGTGGTGTGCAGATCTAGCGAAGATCAACCTTGTCCGTGGACGGCTCGGGTGACGCACTGCACACGGGTTCATGAACTGTGGGAAGTAACGGAATGGACTGAGAGGCACAGTTGTATGCAAGAAGTCGAAAAAAATTACCACAGAAATGTAACCGCCACAATGATTTCAAATCTTGTCATGACCAAGATTCAAAAGAAACCCGACTACAGTGTAACCCTGATCCATGAGGATGTCAAAAAATGTTGAAAAATCGATGTGAGCTATAAGAAGGCATGGCACGGGAGGAAAAAGCCATCGATTGTTTGTATGGCACTTGAGAATCGAATTTCGCACAACTCTCTCAGTAAGAAAAAATTTATTAAAAATATACGTGTTATTTGTCACTATGTTTATGTATTGACGATTACGTTTTGTAACGTGCAGGTTTTTTGCGGTGCTTCAAAGAGCGAATCCCACTCACAGCAGTATAGTGTCCATCCCGGTCCGAGGGATGACACTTTTCTATGTCTCCAATACGAAGCTCGTGATACGACGCTAAAAAACCATCATTTCAACAATCAGTTCTGGGAGGCTTTGTCAAGCCAGCCACGGTCGATTTGGGAGGTCATCGACCGGACTGGTTTCGAACCCTTGTTTTGAATGGGTCGAATCAAAGCCGACAACAGCCTTATTACTGCTCTCGTGGAGAGGTGGCGCCCAGAGACGAATACCTTCAATTTCGATTTCGGCAAGGCCACTATCACGCTCCAGGACGTACAGTCCTGTCCGGTCTGCCAATCAGTGGAGCTGCTACTGTGAGAGCGACTATAGATCTATCACCCCTACAGTGGCGAGAGAGGTGCAAGGACTTGCTAGGGTTTGAGCCCTATGTTTAGGTATATTTTTTCATAGAATTTTTTTTAGATATATGTCAACTCAATTTTATCGTTTTTAATATGGAAAAAACCACTCTCATGATCCTCCCACCACCGAGGCAGAGCAAGCAGAACAGGATCCAAAGTCTTGGCACATTAAAGGCCAGTATATGAACGATGAAGGGTTAGAGACGGAATGCAACAGGGTGTTGCAAGAAGGACAACCGGACATCGTGTACAAGCGGAGGGCGAGGGCCCTTATCTTTTGGTGCGTTGGGTACTTCATCTTCCCCGCCCAGCGGGCGAATGGCGTCCACTTTACTGGCTTCAGCTACTGCAGGACATAGATGCTATTAAGGGGTACAACTAGGGTTCAACGCTCCTGGCCGAGGTATACAGAGCGATGTCAACCTCGTACATGGCCAAGGAGAAGTGGATCAAGAACTGCGTTCTATTGATCCAGGTAAATTTATTTAATTGTTATTTGAAATTTTAATATTTTATATTTTCTTACTTCGACTAATACCCAATAACAAAATTAATGTCCATTTGTGTAGGTTTGAGCATGGGAGCATATCCCTCGTATTCGCCCAATAGTGAAGACCTATAGGTTTGATACCCTGCCTGATTGTCCATTGGGAGCGAGGTAATCACCTTTATTTTTATTTAATCCGTACATTATTTTCATTACCAAATTTTGTGATTACAATTTTTTTTTTTTTTTTATTTTTAAGGTGGGTGGGACCGAAAAAGAAGTCAAACATAGCCAATACATTAGTTGCCTACCGGGATCAGTTGACATGGCTGGGAGAGAATGATGTAATATTCTTCATTCCTATTGCTTGATTTATCTTTTTTTTCTTGTTTTTAATTTTGTAATAACTTAATTACTAATTAAATTGTTATTTTTTTTACAGTTCGATTACTCTCCCGGATGCGTGCTCAAAAGATCCACAATTTTGGATGTACTGAGGATGGATCTTCAGTTGGAACACCCGGGAGGTACACCTGCCTGATAGGGTCCTCCGTCAATTTGGGTGTCGCCAGTCCATCCCCCAAGATCCGATCATTCGGGATGACCGAGACTAGGACACACACCACAAAGGTCAGGGGATGACTGGGAGGGCATTTTATGATTGAGCCGCATTCCATGTACTGTTTCTGAACTCGTGGACCGAAGAAAGAGAACAACGTCTCCTTCCAGTTGCCCCTGTGTACGACTATCAGCACCCGGAGCAGGGTTACCTTGAATGGTTTCACAGCAAGACTCGGAGATTCAACAACAACCCTGCCAATTACCCGGTGTTCCAACAGGCGGGCGGGTATCAGCCACTTGCCGAGCGGTTAGGCTGTCAGGTAAGTGTTCATTATTTGTGTTTATGTTTTTATTATTATTATTATTATTATTATTATTATTATTATTATTATTATTATTATTATTATTATTATTATTATTATTATTTTGGTATTTCATACTAATTATTATGAATTTTATATACAGACTTCTGCACTACAAGGAGTTTATGCTGCATTATCCGATATTCAACCATACGTGCCTCAAATCCCTCCAGAAGCGCAGACCGGCTTCCAACAGTCGTACAACTTTGCCTTCTCTTCTCTTACTGTTGGGGGCCAGTGTGTTCCACATGGGGGGCCGTCCAGTCAAGTTTTCTCCCAGGACGAATACATTCGCCCCATGAGGACACAGTCACACACGACCAGACATCAACCCGCCCCTAACATTGGTGGAGGTAGAAGATCTCGGGCCCGTCCCCGCACTCAGTCGTCCGCCCAGCCCCTCCAACCTGAGCAGCCCGACCCTCAACAAGGTGAGATTTTTAAATTAAAAATTTCTTTTTTTTTTCAATCCAATTTATGATTTCTTTTTTCCAATTGAATTACTCAGATGAAGAAGATGAAAATGAGCAAGCTTTTCAAACTGACACGCTTCTCACACCTCAACCTTCGTCTTCTTCTCACATCGTATATACTCAGAAGGGGTCGAGACTGCGCAGGCCTACAAATCCATACAGTCATTCCTAGTTAGTTGTGTTGAATTCGTGGATTTTGTGTTCATTTTGAATTGTTGGATTGTCTGTATAAACCGAATTATATCGTTTTCTATATATTGTTTGTTCAACAAATTATTGTGTTTCATTTGTTTGTTTATAGTGTATGTTGGATTATTATTAGGCGAATATGTTGATATTAGTTGCTCGAACAAGTATATTTGGTTGTGAACATGTATATTTGATTTTAGGGTAAAATCGATTTTATGATTTAGGAATTAAGGTTTTCTCATAAAACGTATTTCTGAAATACGTTTTTAATGAAACTGATTTAGGTACAAAACGTATTTCAACAATACGGTCACAGTAATTTTCACATGAAAACGTATTTATGAAATAGATTTTCAGTTGAAATTGATTTAGATAAAATCTAAAATTGATTTTATAAAAAACATATTTCAAGAATACGGTCAACATAATTTTCACAAATAAACGTATTACGTGAATACATTTTTAGTGAAATTGATTTAGGTTAAAATTGATTTAATAAAAAACGTATTTCAGGAATACGTTTAGAATACGCTCATTCTATTTTACAAACTTTTTTAATTTATTTTTTCTGCATTCATATAAATTTAAATTTTTTTTTTTCCTTTTTAAAACGTAAATTTGAAAAATATGGTTTAAAATGTTTATAATAAATTCTAAAAAATGAATTATACATCGCATTAAGAAAATACGTTTTCTATGTTCCCAATAAAAAAACGTATTTTACTAATACATTTTTTTTTTTGATTAATTTACTTAATTAAGGTAATTACATAAAACGTATTATCCGAATACGGTTTATTTTGGAAAATTCAATAAATTAATATGTTTTACAATTAAAAACGTATTTGCTGAATACGTGGTTTTTATTTCGGGCTACTCCTTTTTTTTCGTTTTTTTTTGTCCACTTTATTTTATTTTATTTTATTTTTTGTTAGTAAACAAATCAAATGGATTGGCCACTTTTACATTAATAATTATTAACTTAAGATATGATACATGCCAAAATGGATATTGAAACTATTTTGCTGCATGTATTACTCCCTCATATTTTTAATAAATGTCATTTTAAAAAGTCGCACAATAATTAAGATTTTTTTTGTCAGTAATAAACCTCAGTAATAAACCTCATTAATGAAGATAAAGATGAATGTTTTGAGAAAAGGTAAATAGTGAATATGAAAAGCATGGTGTATTTATTAGCTAGATTAGGGTAATAATAAAAAATATTTACAAAACATCCAAAACGTCATTTATTTAGTTAATTGTTGATAAAACCAAAATGACATTTTTTTTTTAAAAAAAATAAGAGGTAGTATTATTTTTGGTTCATACACACGACCATTACTTTAAAGACATTAATTATTGTTTTTTGGTGCATACAGATGAAGAAGCTACCATACTGATTCAATATCAGTTTTGTTGGGATTCTTATGCATTACATACATACGTGTATCAATTTCACTTACGCATAGATTGTAAGTAAACTTAATTTAGTCCTATTTTTAGGTGCCTAATTTAGGAAGCCAATCAAAGTAACAAAAATTTCACAGACCTGCAATTCAGTATGACAATCAACAGTTTTATGAACTATTAGTTTAACGATTATATATTATGTTAATACATTCGATGGTCATAACGTAGAGATGTCTTGATACATCTTCAACAATCATGGGGGGGCCTTGTCTTCCACTGAACCAAAAAGAGGGTGCAGAAGAAACTATACTGTTAAGATAAAATTTATCGACCAGAAGTTACTTATCCAGACGATATTAACGAGCGAGTGAGGTATAGTATCATGGATTAATGCTTCAAGAGCCTAAATAATCTCTCTCAAGAAAGTAATGAGCCTACCATTCAAGTTGCATATTCTTTTGAGTTGAAAGCAGGAAGGTATCGAATATCAGTAACCATTGTTATCTTTCCGCCTTCAAAGCTGTCAGCATCAGCATCGACATCGCCCTTTGGTTCGTCTTTGGGGAGAGTGTTGCAGTGAATGGTGTGTGACAGTGGCCTTTCTTCATGAAATAATCTGCAATAAGATATTTTACGGATTAAGTTACACCATACTTAATTGAAATTATAGCATAGACCAACGAAAGTAAAATGACTTCAATACAGATGTGTCCTGAACAATACCATCCATGACTTCACTTTAATCAGCTTATTAAATAACAGGAACAAATAACAAGAAATGCTACTGAAAGCCTGCTTGATTTGGCTGATTCGATTAGTGTGATGGTAACCGGTGGCTGTCTCCATCGCTGATAATAATTAGTTGTTAGCTTATGGTTGATTTTAATTTTTAAATGACTTTTTGATAAAATGAGTTACTAGAATAGTTGATTACATGAAAACTTAGGTTAATTCAACAATATAGACATGCTTGTAACTCTAATCTACTGTGTCATAAAAGTAAGAAAAATATATAAAGGTGATATCAACGTTATGAAATGAAAATATTTCAGAAACCATACGCATAAAATCTGCCCAAACAAATCATAAAAATGTGATAATAAAAGGCATTATCTTTTTTTTTTTTTAATATATATGTTAAAATTTTGTAAAATCCTAATGCAATACTGATCTACGAAATAAAATAATTTGTATAATTAAGATGGGTAAATAGGACATTTTCTTTGTATTGAAGTTTTATGCTAAACACAAAGGAACTTGCCTACGAATAGATAATCTTTCAGCTTCCTCCCT